CGCCGCGGGTATATTTGCGAATTGTAACACTCGGAAAAGCGGATAAAAGAGATGTGTGTGTGTGTGTGTGTGTGCGTGTGTGTAAAACAAGAGACTGTACACTCATCCCGTCATGATGTCATAGATTTCATGAATAAAATAACAGTGCTATTCTTTAATTAGTACGAATCATCGTATAATTACGTACTTTTTCGAGTTACAAGGACTTACATGCCGATAATACATCACGAGTATTCCCGGCTATAACGTCCATCTATAATGTCTGTATTAGGTGGAAGCTGCTGCGACTATAAGGAACGAAATCGAACTTTGGCGCGAGCGGCGTTGTACTTCCCTCGAGAATGTACGATACCTCTTTATCTTATTCAAGGCGGCAATATCTCAAGTAATTACGCGACACACTTGTACACGTTGTACGCAACTTGGCTTGATATAAATAGCGGGGTTTTACGTGACAGACGTTGATTTTCTTCTACGGCTTGGAAATAAACGGCAGCGAGTGCGCGCGCGCGCGCAATCTCCCTCGTCGGAACACCTCCGCGGTGCATGGCTTTCCTTCCCCTCCTCAGCGAGAGGCTGAATAAACGCCGCATATTTTTCCCCGTAATTCCGAAATACCTCCGCGCCGAGATGTTACTTCCGCGCGAACGACCGTATCGCGCATATTATAACGTGTGCGCCGGAAATCACGGAGACGCGGGCGCGCAGCCGCTATTAAAAATTCAGCCCCCGTGCGTGTATACGCAGCGCGCGGGCACGTGTATACATAACACCGTTCCCCCTCCTATATAAATAATGGAGGAGGCTCAAAATGCGCCGTAATTCGTGCGCGACAAGGTAAGATAGCTCAACGGGGACGCGCGACGACACGCGGCGTGTCTCCGCCGCGTTCCCGACAAGACACTCCTCGGATCCACGACGACGTCAACGACGACACTATTCATCTATTTTTCTTACGAGCTCCGACGAATGCGCGGGAACATGTCGACGACGTGTACGGGAAACGGGCGAGAGATCAAGAGAAATTCTGCGACGGGATGTGAGACAACGCGCGCGCCCGGAAGGGTGACGGGACAAAGGGGAGATGAATCGCGGAATGAAAAGACGGATTCGAGAGATGAAACTCGCCGGTGCGTGCGATGAAAAAATACAGGGGCGTCACACAGGGGTTGATCAGCGCGCGTTCGGCCTCGACGACGCACGCGACGTGGGGACGTTTACCCTTTGCACAGGGTCGCCACCTTCTTCCTCTTATCGATGGTGCCGTGGGTAACGAAGACCATGTCGCGCGGGACTACGTTAGTATTGGAATATAACTCAAGGGGAGGGGGG